AAGAGTGTGATTAGCACAGCTCCACAGGGTGATGTCCCCTATTATTTTTTGGTCCATTGCTATCCTAGTTATACAATTAAAAGGATGTCACTCAATCTGGGGATGGGGCAAATTTAGAGCAGGTCAGTATCACCTATTGGGGCGTTTACTTTTCAAGACAATGCAGGATTCCCTGTTGTCCATATGGAGATCTGCTGGAACAGTTGGCTGAGAGCCAGATCCTTAATGCCTGGCACTGATTTATAGCCTCAAATGAAGCACTGATAGCACATGGCAAACATGAAAACAGGGGGCCATGAGGTTCCCTAAATTAAATCCTTTCACTTTCACTTCATAGCACTGTCTTCAGTGCAAATTCACAATTTTTACACAAACTGCTAATGTTTTCTTCCCATTAGCAAGGTGTACATTGTCATTAACAAAAACAACTCTTGAAATGAATACATTTTCCAGTTTGCAGTCATCACAGACTGACAAGTCACTACAGTATGTGACCTAAGTCCAGAGTGAGCTCATCAAATGAATATCTCCACCCAATCTACCCACGGAGGCCCGCCTGCCAGAGACAGGCCACGGCAGAAGGATGATTAATGTGCCACCCTTCACCCCCCACTGTGAATTAGACACCATGGGTCGAAACTATTTTTCTTGGTGAGCAGGAGCACGCTTGTAGCTAAAAAATGGGGCAAACACTGTTTATCATCTGCCTGACGACAGTCCTCCTCGGGGCAAATTATCCACACGGCCATATCGACTGGCATGGGCCGGGAGTCAGTGCCCCTTCACTTTGATTAATCTCCTCGTGTTCCTGCTCCAACTCTATCAAAGTAATCTAAGTGAAGACACACAGCATTGATCTGTAAACACAGAACACTACTGTACCAAACACATTCACACACACACACACACAGAGGGAACACAATTACAAGAGGTGACCTCAAGTTATTATCAACCAAAGGAAGGCCTACTTGCATGGATTATAAAGACAACACTTCTTTAATACTGGGAAATATTAGATGTGTTCATTCCTAAATATGAATGCTATATGTCATACTGCTTTCTGAAAACACATGACAGTGTGTTCATTCTTAAATGCCTTACTCTTAACCAGCATCTGAAACATTTTCATTATATTAAAAGAACCATGTCAACCATGTCAACTTTAGATGAGCTAAGAAAACAGTTGCAACTTTCTGAGAATGCTTTTTTCAGTAATCCAATGAGGGATGTTTTCATGGTTTACTTGAGAAATAGAGGAATTTTCTTAACCTATAAAAGAAAACTTTAAAAGTTTCAAATTGACCAAATCTGGGTGCACATGGTTTTCCTTTCGCAGGGACACTTGTAACTTATGTGACAAATTAAATAAAGATTTATTTACAGTATATTTTTGAAGCATGATGGTGTCTTTGACATTTTTCTTTGGATATGAATGTTATATATAATACAAAAGTGAATAACATGTCAAATGGGTCATTCAGATCCCAGTGGAAGATATATTAATTCAGGAGGAGAGTAGTTTATATTAGTTCAGTAACTATATTCTTCCCCATTTGTATATATAGCTGAATACATACACATAGGACTCAGTAATGGAGTAAATTAATTTAGAAAATGCTAAATAAGTATAAACTGCATAGTAACAGCAAAATGTGCATAATGGTTCTGCTCAGTGGAAAGTCAAAGCTACAACATGTCTGTGTGTCTTTTTATACAAATATGTTCTCTAAGAAAAACAGCTGACTGTTTTCTACATTCCAGTAAAGCTGACTGACTAACTTTACAAAGTGAAGGTTGAAGATCCATCATAAACACTAGACTAGAATGTTATCCAATGTCATCAAAGCAGCATTAACTCCAGTGCTTAGAGAAAGCATGATGCCACTCCTGGCTGTTAAGACAAATGAAATATGGACATGACTTCCTGCTCCTCAACATCAGGGAACACTGTGGCTGTAGAAAAAATGTCGCTGGGTGATGCATCAAGTCCTCAGTCATCACTCCCCAGAGGAATGGAACTTGTTTTTATCCAGATTTATAAAGTTGTCTAAAGTAACAGCTTGTGCTCATCTATTTGGGCAATCCACACAAAATGTTGTGTTAATCCTGTGCTGCACTGCCCAGCACCTACTGCACAAATATGCAAAACAATCTGTTTTATATGTAGCCTTGCCAATGTTTTTGGCAGACTACAAATTTTTCCTTTTTTTTTATTGTGTTATTTCTGATAACTCATGTGGATCCACTGCTTTAAATCTTGTGGTGTGACTTTTACAGTAGCCTTCATTCTGTGAGTAAATGGTGCTTGCATGCGGTTTGCATTAAACCAGACAGAGCAACAGAGCCTCACGGGTGCAATGTTATTTGTTATGGTAAATGGTCTTATATTTGTATAGCACCTTTCTATGCTTTACACACTTTCACACTACTCGGCCATTCACCCATTTGCACTCCCAAATACTCACACATTCACACACTGGTGACATCACCGGGAGCAACTGGGGGTTCAGTGCCTTGCTCAAGGACACTTCGACATGTTGACGGGACAAGCCGGGAATCGAACCACTAATCCTCTGGTTAGGAAACGACCCGCTCTACCTCCTGAGCCACAGCCGCAAAAATTACAGCATAATCTTAGGACTCTTTTGATCTCTGCTAGAAAATCTACAAGCTACCCAGCAGTAAATCAAATTCTAAACATATAAGCTATTTAAAAGTAGCTCCCCCTTTACCAGCTGTAACATTAAAGTGATAAACACAGTAATTATAATCCAGTAACATGATGTACAGCAGAACCCCGGTTTTCGTATGCCCTACTTTCCGTACGATTCGGTTTTCGACAAATTTTTTTTGTCAAAATTTTTCCCAGTTTTCGTACATCTGCTCGGTTTTCGTACAGTTGATTGGTCGGTTCAGCGTCATTAGTCTGTACCAAACTCGTCCGCCTGCCCGCGTGACTTGGCCACTCATTTCCCGGAAGAAATGAGTGAAGGGAAGTAACCCCAGATGGGGCCTTGATACATGAAGTTCTTATGGAGGGGGATTCCCC